AAAAAAAAAAAAAAAAAAAAAAAAGTCCTCGAAAAAATCTGAAAACAAACTATGTTATGCAGAAACATAAACTGAACAACTTTTGCCTTGGGATAATATCAAAATTCGTTTCCAATTTTGAAATAAAAAATAAAAATAAAAACACCCCCAATTTTTTTATTTTTTTTCTTCGTGCATTTCATTGCTAAAAATGGAGTTGTCCGGCCCCGGGCGTCCGGGACCCCCCTGACTGTCCGGCCAGAACATCCGGCCAGGACGTCCTGCCATCGGACATAACATAGTTTTTTTTTTTTTTTTTTTTTTTGCCTAGGGCGACGTGTTCCGGACCCGGCACATCAATTCTGTTTTTCCGAAAAGCGCGGGAGCGGCCCATTTTCGCGTTTAACGCGAATTCAACGGGATTTTTTGGAGTTGAACGGGATTCAACGGGAGTTTAATTTCCCCGTTCTGCGTTAAAAAGATACACAGTCGGCGACCTCACGTGGCCCCGGGTGCCTTTCCCCGAGGTGTCCCACGTCCCTTGGGCGTTTTGCCGCCCCACGGTGACCCCTCTCCCTTGTCTTTCTTGTGCCTTGCGCACGCCTGTTCCTTTGGTCGCGGGGCCTCCAACCCGAGGCTCCCGTAGGTGGCCCCCGTGTTGAGCCCTCGTTCTCCCGTTTCCCACGGCCTCCGGGCCGTCCATCTCTCGACTCCCTCATTCCTTTGTCGTTGCCGTGCCGCGTTTGCTGGTTCGAAGGTCCTTTGGCCTTAGTCTTGTTGAGTTCCAATGGCCCTCTTGGCCTCATGCTACGTCCTATATGCCCCTGCTCCTGCGCTTATTCTCGTGTCGTGGCTGGTTTTCTTCTTCTGTGGTTCTCACCCCAGGACATCACTCCCTCTTGTGGCCTAATCCTTTGTCTTTTCTTTCTCCTGCCTCCTCACTCCACATTTCTCTGTCGTGCACAATTCGTCTATATTCAGTCTCTTGAGTGATGGGAAGTTATTCGGGACTCACCGGTCCCGACAACGGTGGACGGCGATGGTTGGGGTTTGGTCCCTTGGGACAGTAGTGTTGCTCAGCCGGCTCGGTGGGTGAGGTGGCAGGTGCGGCATGGTCCTTTGTGGGATTCCATGGGTGTCCTCGTCCGCATCATGGAGCCCGTGTACGACATGCTTCATAGGTTGGACCGAGGAGGGCTGCACATGTCGAGGGTTGTGCAGTGGACGCAGGACGTGACTCGCGATGTGGCACGCGAGGTCCGCGCACTTCCATCGGGCGTTGCACACTTCATTATGCAGAAGGCGCAGACCYGGTGCGCTCACATGTTGGARCCCGCGCACACCGYTGCTCACCTTCTCTGTCCGACTCGCAGAGACRTGAGGTACTATAAGGGCGTCGTCAGCGAGTACGATGCGAGACTCGTACGAGAGGCGGAGATGTCACGGTACATTCGCACACAGACTGGGTTTAGTATCGCGAGCCCGGAGTACGAGGCTGCATGTGCCCAGCTCCGCGACTTCCACACACGGAGAGGGRCGATTGCGTGGGGTGGGAGGGATGGAGAGAGGGAGGCGCAGGCATGTACCGGCGACATGGAGACGTATGAGGCCGGTTGTTGGTGGTCGAAGTGGGGACAGTGCGTCCCGCAGCTGCAGGCCATCGCTCTTTGTGTGATGTACATGTGGACATGTTCCTCTCCCACAGAGAGGAACTGGGCCATCCACGAGGCTGTGCACACGAAGAAGCGCAACAAGCTCGAGTTCGAGAAGGTTGCGAAGTTGGTCGAGATCTCGGCCAACGTCCGCCTACTCTCTCATCAGCGAGCTGGCCGCGGGTTTGCATTGCCATGGACGGTTGACGAGTCCATGTTGGATATCGAGGGAGGCATTGRGACTCAACCGTCGTGGTAGGGGACGGACCCCAGCAGGTCCCAGGAGGACCGGGAGAGGCGGAGACGWTCCTGGATGCGAGACCCGTGTGGGTCGAGGGCTCCTCCGAGAGAGGTCGGAGATGTTTTCGGGACTCGGGCTGCCACTTTGCGGCCATACCCCAGAGACGACGACAGTAGTGACAAGGGCCCTGAGGGATTGGAGGAGTGGGCGGGACCTGCAAACCATCCCGCCGGAGGACCTGGAGAGGCTGATGAGTGGAGCGACCCGGCGGAGGTCCGCAGACGTAGTCGTGGGGGCGACCTTTTTGGTGGAGGTGACGGGAGCCCTTTTGAGCGAGAGCGGCCTTCGTCTTCGGAGCCACAGTCTGTCGATACGCAGGCGGCGCACGACTCTGCGCGTTCCAGGGGGGCAGAGTCAACATGCGGTGACGGTGTTGCAGGGCAGCATCCCGGACGTTTGCCCTGTGGGATGGCTCTACCTGGGGTTGTTCCCCCTCCCTCAGGTGAGTTTCATCGAGGTTCACCCCCAAGAGGGCGATTGCATAGATTGGTGAAGGGGCCTTCACAGCGATTAGAGGAGAGATTGGTGGGCGGTCCTTCACCGACTGATAGCGTCGAGAGAGTTGTGGAGAGGCCGATTGGTCGACGTACTCCTCCGTTCAGAGGAGATGGACGCGGTCCAATTCAGGAGGCGGTTGAGACGGAGGGTGTTGGGGGGCGTGGTGATGACAGGTTGTCGTTGGGCGGTGACGGTCATTTTAGTCAGTTTGGTGATTTGGGACCGCCGCCCGCAGAGAGCGATTCTCAGGGAGACGTGTCTGCCGGCATGCAGTCCATATTACACCAGATCGGCGCTTTGCAGCCGGAGATTTTTACCCCTGCCATGCACCGGGAGTTAGGAGCGTCGCCAGCGGAGATAGAGAGAGACGAGGATGCGACACCCCCTGGAGAGACATCGGCAGAGAGGTTGGACAGGCTCGATAGTCGTCGAGCTTGCCTCCTAGCACGAGCTGACCCCACGACACAGGAGTTTGCCCGTCTAACGACGGAGGAGCGACAGAGACAGTTGGGGACGTTTAGGGAGGTGCCCCCTGACGCACAGGCGGCTGGCGATGTCGACCCGATGACAGAGCTTCGCTACGAGACGCAGCCGGAGGCAGCTGTGCTCCAGCCAGGTTCGGCAGGGACGCAGGGGGAGGCAGCTGCAAGCCCGGGTACATCAGCAGAGTTGCATGGGGAGGCAGCCGGTGGCGGTGACAGCAGAGTCGAGATGGGCGGAGGGACAGTAGTTGGGGTGCCGGGGGAGGCAGAGGGGTTGCATTTGACTGCGCTCACCACACCAGACGACCTGCGTCCAGTCTCCGACCAGCCTCTTCACGGCAGGCAGAGGACCGAGGATGCTTTGCCTGAGACCGAGGAGATACCTCCGGGGTTGGAGGATATACAGACGGGTCAGTCAATGGGCGTTAGTGATGACGCACCATTGGCACGACAGGTACGATATCACCGACTACGGGGTGGGGGGGGTTGTTGGCGGGGACGCTTTTGTCTGGGGGGTAGAGGAGCGAGTCCATGATGATCCGGTGTCGTCGATTGAGGGCGGTTGACGTGTAGAGGACGACGGCGGGGCAGGAGCGAGACAGGAGGCGATCGGTACGACTGACAGAGGGAGGCATGAGGCGTCCAGGAGCTTGGTGGTTCGCGCGGCCGTGGGCCCGGTTGTGCGACATGAGGCACCATTTCCTACAGATCCGGTGCGTCCTGCGGGTGGAGTCGCCTCGATCGCAGAGCGACGTGTAGGCAGGGGCATGTGCGCGCCTCCGATCCCCCCTTTCGCACCGTCTAGGGAGAGGACACAGTCGAGGTATGCRTCRCATCCTCGCGGCACCTTTCCATTCAGCTCTATGACCGCCGAGGAGTTGGAGGCGCATGGCACCATGGATTACACCGGGACAGACACCGGTCGACCTGACTTGTCTTGGGCACCAACCAGCCCAAGCCTGCCATCTGSAGGTTCTATTGCAGTGCCCTCTCACGGGGGTGCAGGGCCGTTGTCACCGGGGTCCGCAAATGTCCAGTCGCGTGGCAGTCACACCCCGAGTTCGGCTGCTCACAGACAGAGAGACACGAGCAACCATGGACGGGCCACGATGTTGTTCGGTCGCACTGATAGGCCATGGAGCGAGAAGAGACGAGTGACATCTACGAGCGAGGGTCGCCAACAAGGTTTGAGAGGGGTATCCACCAGCGGGGGTCGTCGAGATGTTGTGGCGTCGGGGTTTGGCGATAGAGGTGAGGATAGTGGTGACATTCGTGGCGGACGTGAGGGCGCGCAAGATGGAAATGCAGAGGCGGTTCCGCGGCCACTAACGTACGGGTTGAGAGAGTCCTCCATCATTTTAGAGGAGCCCGAGGTGGGTCGACGAGCGAGACAGGCCCGACATGTGCCGATCGATCGACGCTAGGAGGGGGAGACTTCAGGAGCAGACGGTCTGCCTATGCGCCGCGAGTCTTGCCGACATATTGATTTAGCAACCACARGCGTCAGACCTAGCAGAGGTAGGAGAGTTATCATGGACAACGACCCCGACGAGCCTCCTGAGCCCTCCCATGATGGTCATGGAGAGCAAACCCGTCGTGGCAGGGGTCGAGCGCATGGCAGTGGTGGAACACATGGACGAGCGTCGCATCGGTCTGCTCAGCGCTCGCCTTCAGATGAGGATCCTTGACTGTATACATACGTTTTTT